AAAATTATTTTAAGAAAAAGTTGAAATATCAATTTTTTTAAAATAAATTTTTAAAAATATTTTAAGGAAAAATTAAAGTATCAAATTTTTTTAAAACAAAAATAATTTCAAAAAATTTTGAGTAAAGAGTTAAAATATCAATCTTTTTTTAAAGGAAAATTTGAAAAAATTTGAAAAAAAAAAATTAAAGTATCCATTTTTCCTTGAAATTAAATTTTTAAGCATTTCATAACAAAATAAAATAAATATTAAATGATCCAACGACGAAACCTTTGCAAGAGAAATAATAATTTTTTTATATACTCTTGAGGTAAATGAATGCTTTTAATTTTTTATTAAAAATATCAAAGTTAATTAAGAATAATTTTTAATATTTAATTATCTTGTAAGATTTTTTAATACTTAATAGATAACACGAATCTTTTGATGGATATTGTGAGGGTGTTATAATCTTTTTCACACACAACCGTACTTTAGACTTAATTTTGATTTCGTAAATATTAAATTTATTTTTTAAAGATAACTAAATCAAGCTTAGATTTCTTTTTAAAATATGATAAATTCATTAGGTAACTAATTACTGTTAAATAAAAAAAATTAATAATAACTCTTAAATTTATATCTAACGATGAGTTCACGACTCTAGATGCTATGACACCCTTATCAAATGATTTATTATTAGTCCCTCAAAATCCAGTTTTTGGGGATTAAGGGGTTAACTTTCTTTAATTTAACTTTGCATTAATTTGACTCCATATATAGCAGCCGACATGCAGTTAACAGGGCTTAATGCTGACCCACATCAATGAACACATTGATTTTAAATTTTTCTTATGAGATCAAGTGCCAGTTATCAGAAGATGATGGATGTTCAGGGAACATGTTATTTTAACTAGGAATCTCGAAATTAAAAAATAAATAAAAGGTAAAGATCTCAATCTAAATTACAAGTTCAAGCTGAATCACATGTTCTAAGATAAAATTATTTTAAACCAAGGTTTCTTAAGGAGCAGCAATCACACATAATCGGAGAGTGTTGGTGAATTCAAAACTCTAGTAATCAAGTTTTGATAAAAAAATAATTATATAAACCAACTGATTAAATTTTGAATTCTTGAATACGAGCATTTGATGCAGTGATTAGTGCATGTAAACACCTGAATCCTTGTACCGTATTTCAGCCGTCTTCAAAAATAGGGTAAAAAGAAAGGAACATGGGGAAACTTACAACTTTGTAGTAGGCCTAGGACATCCAGCTTCCTAAATTCATAATAAAAAGCCTTACTTGCTATGGGAATAATGACTTAATTAGAAAGATTTCATGGATTATTCTTGTGCTATCTTTGGCCTCATAACGTTGGAAAAAAACTCTATCAAATTTAGGGCCGAAGTAAGTGCCTTGTATCTTCTCTTGGAGTAGAAATTATATCGCACTTGGATGTTATGGAGAAACAATTGGTGCATATTTCCATTGCCCCAAACTAAAAAGGGTTGGATCGAATGAAAGAGTTAAACTTGGCCCTTGTCATTTTGCACTCTCCAATGCTTTTACCGATTATATATAGCCTGCAATGCTTTTGTTAAACTATTCTTTGGATTAAGGTAACATCAGATGCAGAAATCCAGAATTCAATTGCAGCTGTCACGGCTTGAACATCTCTACGTGCTGTTAACCTAAACGGCAGCAGACTTCGGGACGTTGAGGCATGAACCACAAAAGAAATAGTTCTACAAGTCTACCTGCAGTTGGATTGTACAACAGCTAGAAGTGACTTTTTTTTCTTTTTTGAGTGGAAAAGGCAAAAGGCTTTGACACAGGTAAGCAGGCAAAAAAGTGGTAGTGTTGGACGCAGAGAAGTTCAGTGTTGCTCTTCCGACCAATCAATTTTCATAATTTAGCCATATTAGATACATATCTGACTCCTTGAAGTGGGCTATGCATATCGGGTATGACCCTCCAAGTGCAAGGAAAAACTGGGTGTAAAGTTAAATGCACCCAAATCCCAATTTTGTCATTCACACCCAAAGCTGAAAAACATAGGTTAATCATATAATTGAGACCCAAACAGAGATTATGCATGAAAGGGTGAATGAACAAATAAATGGACAGATAGATGATGAGTGAAGGGTAGGGCTTTGGTCCAGAAACATAGATAATCGTTATCTGGTTATAAAAGTGCATCGCATTTCAATGGGAATTTTTAAGGAAGTCAGTTGCAGGCCGAATCTTAATATTTTCTAACCATTCAAATGAACAACTTCAATACCGCAGGCTCGGTTACTCAACGGATGTAAATTTTCATTCCAAAAAAGACATGGAATCATGCAGATAAGAAGAGAATGAGGGTATCACAAATACCACAAAATCCTCCAAGTGCACGAAATTGACATTCATCCAGCATGCAAGGGAAATACGGCATAAGCTGACAAATTATGCTAGGAAAATTTGAGTGCCAAAGCAGAATTCTCCCTAAAATTTCAGTAATTCTTGAGTAAAACCAAGTTTCAATCTTGAGACTTACCTCTCTCATAGGAAACATGTGTTCTACTATGTTCAAATGATACAAACTTTGTTTCATTAAAACTTTCAAAACTGCTTCCTCTTGTTTCTGAAAAGTTTGTCTCTTTTTTGCATAAAAATAAGGAGTACCAAAACCAACTGCAGAAAATGTTACTGAAGCCCATGGAAATGGTGGGTCCTTGAAACAAACAAGTGATGCTTCAATTTCTTGTGATGCACTGTACACAAGATTGTGAATTGCATAAAGATCATGATCTGAAGACCTTAAGTAGTAGAATGCCATCTCAAAGTCAAAATGTGACAAAGCAGAAACTGCTTTGTCCAGCTTGTACCTGAACAAGTGCCACCTCTGTATGAACTCAACATGCTGCTTCTATTTAAGGAGATTTCTATCCCCACCATGTGCATCTACAGATTCAAGAACGTCAATAGCACTTGTTATACTGTAATTCATCCATGTCAAAAAGAAAATTTCTCCGAGCTGCATCCTTCTGTACAAAAGACAACGATGAAATCTCTGAAAATGGTCCAAAAGGTGTCTGACCAACACTCCATGTGTAATCCACGAAAGTGCTATTATGTGTATGGCTCCACAACAAATGAGTCGGCGACACCCCCCACATACTCTGTATAATTGAACCAACAATTGGCCTCTTCAGCTCCCTCGTACACGTAAAAACATGACGAACATTACAACTGTAATCACTCACAGTCTGAGCAGTCTGTCCTAACAGCAATAACCATATCTTTAAATGCAACAGACTGATAATACCGATCAAGCAACAAAATTGTATTATAATCCAAATCAAACACATAAACAGGAAGTACCCTACTACCAAGTTCCTCCTCTGGCAACCTTGCAACCCTCCTAAACTCATCTGCCGAATCAGACAATATCTGATGCAAGCACTTTGAATCCAAATACTCGCTCACAATCAAAGTATAATTATCAAACAGAAACCTCGTAGTATATGAATTGATCGACCTAGAAACTGCAAAAGAACAAATCGAACACTCCTCGTACCTAACACTGTACCTCTTAAACTCTAAACTCTGATTGCCAAACAAAAACTCACCATCATTTGCCTCATTACGAAACGTTTTTTCAATCTCATTCCAATCCAACCCGCTTAAGTCCTTACTTTCAGATGCGTGAACATGAATAAGCTGAACAGTTAAAGCAGTCTCAAAATGAACAGGAATTCTCAAAGGAAGAACAACTAGTACCTGATAAGCACTGTATAATATATCAATGAAGCCAACTCTGAAAGCAAGGTTTGTGCGGACTTAGGCCTTCCATGAAAGGATGCTAAAGGGTGAAACTCGCCTCTCGCAAGTACCCCATCACCAGATAAGGCCGGCCCATAGTCAACCGGACCAGCTCCCAGATCAATTCAAAGATACCTTTTTCTGCCTGTCCAAAGGGTCCCTATGCAATTGGTGTAGCCAGCAGAAGAGTCAGAATGAGTGTAAGAGTAGCCGTAAGGTTGCTTCGAGGTGTGGCCAAGATGGAGAATGTAATGTAAACGGATTGTAAATGTAAACGGATTCATCGGTTTTCTCGTAGTCGAAATGGCGGGAAATGATGGGGTCGATAGTGGAATATGGGACGGAAAGGAGAGGGGAACAGAGGGAGGAAGGAGTGGAGGAAAGAACGGAGGAAAGAGCGGAGAAGAGGGAGGAGGAAGAAAGGGAGATGTCTAGGTGGAGTGAGTGGCGGATGGAAAGAGAGTGGGAGAAGAGAAGAAAAGATGAGGTGGAAGTGGGAAGAAGTAAGGGAGGATTGGAGGAACGAAGTAAGGAGGAAGAGAAGGAGGAAGAGAAGCTAGGGCCTACGAGGCGTATTTGGAGGGGGATTGGAAGGGAGAGGGAAAGGAGGTCGGAGATGACGGAGTGGATGGGGAGAGAGAGACCGGGGAGGATGAGGGAAGGGATTTTTTGAGGGAGGAAGAGAGGGATGAAAAAAGGGTCATTTGTGGATTTGGGGTGTAGGTAAGATTGGTGGCTTAGAAAGGAGTCTAGGCCTGGGATTGGGGCGGAGATGATGGTGCTTGCGGTGGTGGTGAGGAGGAGGATCAGGAGGAAGATGGTGGTGGACATTTTTTATTGGCTGGGGTTTCAGGTTTCCGAGGTTTGTTGGCTGGCGAATGAAGCATGGAGGAGTAGCTATATGAGACCTATTGTAGTCGGGTTTGGATCCAAAAAACCAGTTGGGTGCGAGTTTTTTGTTCTGTTTGACTTCTGATTCCGAGTGACTAAATTTAGTTTATAGCAATGAGGAAGTGAAGTCAAAATTTTTCACTGTCAGACCCCAAAAGAAACCCAGAAGAGTTTGCATAATTGTCCCAATCCCCAATATTCAGCCCACTTTTCAATTGAACGCAAATAAATATGCAACAGTAAAGGACCTCAATGTTACAACCTTGCAATCTTCTGGCTGAAACAATATTGGGGGAAAAAAGAACAGAAGAAAAAAAATTCAAATTTATCTGTATCTTGATTTGCTATGATTTGATGACAGCTGAATTTATATGCATAAGATGATGTTTAGAGACTAGAGATGCAAGTCAATCATTCATCGGATCTGTCAGAATCACTATATGATTGTGTACTCCAAAATTTTGAAACATCCTCATCCTCATCATTGTGCTCCAAAATCGGACTATTGGCACCAGAGAAATCTCGAAATCGGACAAGTCCCTGATTTTCACCATAACTGGCAGTAACAATTTGACATGCATTTACGGCCATGGCTGAACACCCGATGTTGGTATTTCCAAGCTCCGGACGATTACAAAGCAGAGAATTTGTTTGCTTACCAGTGTCAGTCTCCCAAGCATAAACAAAGTTATCCCCCAGACCTCCTGTAACTATTTTATACGGATCCATGTGCAATAGTGTCACTGAACCCATATGGCCACCCAACTCAGTAACTGGTTCTGGTTTTGACGTCTCCTGGTTTCTCCTGATATCCCAAAGCATTGCTCTGTGCATTAAGTGTACACTTTCCATATTAGTTTCAAATACTGAGATTAAACAGTCTTAAATTCCTACTAGAACATGTTTCAACATATGGAAAACTTTCCATCAGAACACCTACTTACGATGAATAAAAGTTCAAGTGTTGATAATAGCAAATTTTCTCAACAGCCAATGATTGAAGGTGGTATGCAAGCCCATATATCCTCAGAAAATGAATTTATTCATTGCCTAACAGCACTTGAGTATTACAGTTCATAATGTAAAATGAAGAACAACCCTCTAACTACAGACTGTTCCATTAACACTTTCATTTATTTCTAGACAATGATACCATGATGAAGGGAAAATTATAGCTAATGTATTCATCATCAGAAAAGGTCTTACTTGCCAAATCCACCAGTGCAGACTAAAGATTTTGAGGGCATAATTGCAAAGGAGTATAATTTTGGTTGATATATTGCTGCAGTGTTAACCTTTTGCATTGTCCTCAAATCAACTACTACAACAGAAGAACCGGCAGCAACATAGAGTAAGGCTTCATGGCATTTCATGTCCACAGGTGCACCTGGCACAGAAGTCATTCCCACACAACTTGAAGAACGAATGGCTGATGATGTTGTTGTATCCCAAACTCTCACCTATAAGGCCCAGAATGGTGAAATAGTACTATAACTGTTGAGAAATCTCTTAGTATAAACATGAAAGTAAAATCAGGTGATGTTAAGAAGCGAATGTTCAACAAGAAAGGTGAACAATATACCTTAGAATCCTTTGACATGGTCACCAAAAGGGAAGGTTTGTGCCTGGAAAATGATGGACAAATCAACTATTAATTACAAAAATAAAAAGGGCAGCCCAATGCGTACAGTTCCGGCTGTAATTTGTTATAACTAAAGAATATACAATCAAACATAAAGAATTTAAAACTCAATCTTTCATAATGTTTGTTTTAAGTTTGAACAATGTAGAATAAAAAATAAAGAGTTTGCTTGAAGAAAAGATTCATACCCTGCAACTGACATTAACGTAACAGGTTTCTGATGCCCATAAAGTGTAGCCTTTAAAGCTTGTTGGCCACGTTTTCCGCTAGAGCTAAGGGACCAGAGGCGAACAGTACCATCTTCCCCACCACTTGCCAATACTTTGACACCACTATCACCTAATAATTTGTCTGACAAGGTAGAAACTGCACGATTATGACCTCTAAAGCACCGTTGGCAAGCACCCTATAAACAAAGCATGCAACCAGGATATTTCAACAACAGAGGCTAAGAGAAAGATAGGCTTAGTATTCTATTCATACTCCAAACACAAAAATGATAATAATGAACAACCAACAGCAACACTCAATGCAATGCATGGAATAAAATCAATGCTAAGAATACAACTTTGTTGAAAGGGCAAAAGTAGAACAATGCTTGACATAATACCTTCCACCACATTCGAATTGAGTGGTCACAACTTGAGGTTACCAAAACATTTTCTTCTCTTTGCATCTCACTTCGAAGTAAAGAAGTTTCATTAAGCGGAAACAATCTGCAGAACAATCATATCATCTATTAAAAAGAGTCCTAGCTTTTGCATACAGACATACCCCTTTTTGACGCCTAATGTCCATGAAACACTTATGATTTAAATTAGTATGCATAAACTTGCAAATCAAAATGTCACAAACACATCAACAAATTATAATCAAGAAAACCATGCTCCAGGCCGTAAATTCAGTTTGATGAAATATGCTGGTGATTGAACCACATACAATGTCACTTATTATACAAGGATATCCCACTTATTATACAAGGATATCCATCAGATTGTCTCACCTCATGCATGTAATTCTTGCATTATGATCACTCATTCTGATAAGTGAGCCTCCGCTCAAAAAGCTGTCGATTTTCATCATTCTTATGATATAACCCTTGGTAAACAAACCCGAGTAAGCTTTTCAATGACGATCAAATGCAAAGTATCACAGAGTTAAAAACAGGATAAAGAAAATTACAGGGTCATACTTGAGAAAAGATTATATCATTCTTATCGAGAAGTAAATGGTCGAAATGCCTTTCTTCCGTATATAAGTCTAGAACAAAAGGATCAGCAAATTTAAGCTGATGCAACGCCGTACGGCAATCCAAATAGGCCTTCCTCACTCCTGACGAAGAGCTGGATAGCATTTCTAGTGGCCAACGCTCCCTAATTGAACCAAATACATAATAATAATAATAATAATAATAATAATAATAATAATCCACCTAAAAAGGAAAAAAATGAATATATTCATTTATTATTGATTTTTTTATCAAAGTTTCTAATAAATTTCACTATTAAATTCAATCTATTTTTAATCCAATTTTACTAAGAAATAAAGAAAATGAAATTCGAGCCTACAAAAATTGCCTCAAAATAAATTCTATTTTTAAATTAAGAATTCTAAAAGTAAACTTTTTTTCTCCTGAAAGCGAACGAGATAAACATTTTCGAGAAAAGAAACCTGAAGCGGTGGAGCCATATAGAGTCGGAATAAGCGACTTTTTGGAGAAATTTGGAAGTCATGGCGAGGTTTGAGAGGTCTTGAAGGCTAAGGTAGGTGGCGCAATGAGCCAAAGAGTCTTCATCCAAATTGGTGATCTTTGTTGTCGCGGCTGCTGTTGTTGCCGATTGCGGTGGTGAAGATGGTGGCTCCGCCATTTTTTTTTTATTCTGATTTTTATGGAATCAAAATTTGGAGAAAGAAAGGGGATTTTTTTGCACTTTCAACTTATTGGGAGGCTTCATTTTCTATATTCTTTTTTATTTTAGGAATCAATTTCCACTTTCAAGAATTAACAGATTAATCTCTTTTATAATCTAAAGTTTTCTTTTGGGTTTTTTAAGAATTTGCTAGCACTTTTTTTTTGAAGTGGTAATGTAATATACGGTCCTTTGAATTATTATAATTTGTTGAATTTGATAATTAAATTAAAATAATTATTAAATAAGTATTTAAAATTTGAAATTTTATATCAATTTAGTTTAAGAGTTAATTTTGTTAGTAAAATTATTAATTTAATTATTTTAATCAATAAAAATTTATTATCTGAACATAAAATGACATATCATATTAACATGTTATATTTATAAAATCATATATTCTAAAAAAAAATTAAATAAATAAATTTTTTTTTAATTCTCGTAAACCTTAATTCAATATCCAAACATTAAATCTCAAGTAGAATTTTTATATGGGAATAAATTTTTTTGAATTTTTTTGTAAATTTTTACTTGTAAATTACCTAAATCAAACATGTGATAATTTTTACAAGAAAAAAATTTTGCTAAAATCCCAATTTGTCTACACCCAAACAATAGTCAAGAAATTACTTTTGTCAATCTCATCTAATTGTCCTTATAACTAATTCAGCAACTCATCAAAATCATTACTCAATCAACATCATCAAAGCCACCGTTCCCGTAATACCAATTAGCCGACACTATTGAGGCACCACACCAACCAAAAACATTTTTTTTTTACTCGAGCATACGCACAAAATGCGAGAAAGTTTTGATTTAGATAAATTTTGAGTGGGTTTTGAGTTTTAATTTTTTTGAGGGACGGAGGACCAAGGAAATACAAAAAAAGAGGCCAGCGCTGGCAAGTGGTGACCGATAGTGGCGAGTGATGGTCCGACAGGTTGTTGCTCGTTGGAATCTGAGTTAAGAAAGAAGTGGTGGTCTACTTTTTTTTTTTAAGGGAAGAAAGAAATGAATGAAACAAAAAAACATTTACGCTTTATATTTAATCATATTAACATGACATGTAAGCAACCATTTAAGATCACATACCATTTTGTAGTTAGATGCCCATTTTTTATGGGTTAAAATGGCCAAGCAAGCTATTCTGTAATAAAGTTAAGTTTCGGACTATTTTGATACACAAATCAAAAGTTTAAGCACCTAATTAAAATTTTTTTTTAATTTAGATATCACATTAAAACAAATACTTTGAGAGACTACACAAATCAAAAGTTTAAGCACCTAATTAAATTTTTTTTTAATTTAGATATCACATTAAAACAAATACCTTGAGAGGCTACACGGGACATTATCCCTATTTTGAATTATTCTTGGATAGAACCAATTTAAAACATGATTAAGTGATAATTAAAAGCATGATGTAATAATAAAATATGAAAATAATATAAAAATAAAAATGACATCATTTAGAATTTTAATAAAATTAGTATGAATTTAATAAAAATAAAAAATATATATGTTTCTTTTTTTTATATATTTATATAAATTATGATATAATAATTTTTTTATTTTATATTTTTATACAAAATAGACAATAGTATATATATATATATATATATATATATATATGAATTGATAAATTTCATTAAAATATAGAGTTTTGTAACATTACAGTGATTTATTTTTAGTTTTTTTTTAATGAAGGTAGAATTTTTTTTTTTTTTGTACAATATGGGTAGATTTAGATGACAAGAAATATTTCTCTAATTATTTTAAATTTAAATTGAGAATTTTATTTCTCAAATTTTTGGTTAACAATAAGATTTTTTTTTTTCTTTTAAGAAATTTATCATTCTTTAACATCATAATTTCTCCTCTCTCATCCCATAATTTATCGGTCCAATGCTAAATTGTTCTAAAAATTTACACCACCTGTTTCTGAAACAATAGCATTTTATTTTCTTAGGAAAGAGGACAAATTTCAATCCTTCTACAAACAGAAACTGTAGAAACTAGAACAAGAAATTTCCTAGAAATTCCATCATTTATCAATCTGAATACAACATTTTATCGTCAATTATCAAATAAAACATATATAATAAAGTAATTTATTCTTGATCCTCAATTATCAAATAAAATATATATAATAAGCGAATTTATTCTTTAACACACAAATGTTGGAAATATGGGAGAGGAAGGGCAATTTACAGCTGATCAAACAAAAGGCAATACCATTAATTAAATCCAAGTAGCAGCAGATCATCTAAAATATGAAGACAACACTATCATGAACCCTAGACTTTTGGTTTTGAGCCACACATTCAGAGATCCACATCAGGTTCCTGATCTCCTGCTCCCTTAATCTCATGTATGCGAAGAAAACACCATAATGGAACTGCACACCATCCACCAAGCAAAGCAAATTAGAGAAAAATACTTTATTTAATTGGTGAAAAAAAAAATGGAAAAACAGAAACAAAATCAAGCATATGCCACTGCTGGGGTTTTCTTTGTTTCCTATCACACCAAATAATTGATAACTGAGAACTCAAGTACAAACCTGCTGCTCAAAAGCTAAGCAAAGCCTTTTCACTTCCTCCTCGTAAAAAGCCTTGTCAAGCATCTGGCTCTCTCCATAAGATAATTTAGAGAAAATTGATTGGTAGGGAGGATATTTTTCCATCACACCACGAACCTAGACAGCAACCCAAGCAAAGACTAAGAACTGGAAGTAGTTTCATTTAAGCAAGCATTAAATGTGAAACAAACCTGGTCAATATCCTCACAGACAGCAAGTTCCTCATGACCATAGGGATAACTGTTTAATATGAAGCGACATTGTCAGAGATCAACACTCCAAAAGCATGTAATACCAAAAGTATAAAAGTAAGATTAGGCCTGAGAGAAAGAGCTTACAGCAGACCAAAATTAGAGTATAATTTCCTACGATCATCACGAGTAAGTTCAGTGCCAATGCTGCAAAAAGTAAACAACACCAAACATATTTTATTAAAAAGTCCATGAAAAGAGAGTATCAAGCATAAAACTAGAAACCTTTAGGATGTAAACCCTTTCTGTAGGTAATAGTACCTGTTAATGGTAATATTTACAGCCCTTCTGTCAGCCTCAAAGGCTAGGAGGTCAGACATGATCTCTGCTGTTGCACCACCAAGTTTCTATAGGAAAAAATCATGTTTAACTTAACAAGGAAGTAGGAAATGACAACTAGCACATGCAAAACGAAAAGCCACCTTGCTTCTTTACTGAGAACCTTACCTGACAAAACTTGTAAAAATCTTCAAGGTATGCTTTGTAGAGAGTGTTCCTCATAATTTCAATGTTCATGTCATCAAGGTCCTACAGAAAAAACCCAGATGAATGAATCCAACAATCAAAGGCTTAGAAAATAAAATCATTCAACAAAAACAATATTCCAGCACAGCTACTAACAATCTCACATGCATGCTTATACAGAGAGAGATACAGACAGACAGAGAATGAAAGACTAAATTAATGTGAAACAATATCAGAAAAGTTGTTAGAACCCTGTACCTCAGAGGTAATACACTCAGAGAAATATGGAGCCAGTGGAGTGTCAACAAGAACCAATCTATAGAGTTCACGCATGTTCTGAGCAACTGCCAGGGTTGCAATGCTAAAGCAGCAAAAAACTAAAAAGTAAGCAGATGTATTATGCGAGGTCAGATAAGCCTGATCTCCATCTAGGGGTTAGATTACCTGTCAAACATGCCCAAAGGATGGCACTTCTCCAAAAGCTCCTGAACATCTCTCTCATGCAAGGTTCCAGTAACAATCAAGACAACATTGTCTATCATATGACCATACCTAAATGGAACAATCAAAATGTTAGCGTTTCTTCTGTTATCAATAAATCCACAGAAACCTCTTAATCAAACTGCATCTCCACACCATCTAAGCAGATAGTTTTCTCTACATCCCTGAGACAACTCAAAGCAGCCCTACCATTCAGGCAGCTATGTTCCAGCTTGAGCTAAAAGTTGATTAACTAGATCATGGGAAGAGGGCAACAAACAACCCCTTCTAACTTTTATGGAAATATAAGATCAGATTTTTTTTCCCCTACTAATTAACAAAACCGCATAAGCAGTGTAAGGACATGCACAATTCATGCTAACACATCAGAACCACCAGTTTTGGATGTTACTGAATTAACACCTGGCATTTATGTGTAGTTCTAAAAACAAACTAATGTTACAAAGAAAGCTATGGAATGCTTATATTCAATTGGGTTAATGGCTTGAATTGTCCTTAAACTATACTAAAATATTCAATGTAGTACCTGAACTATAAAAATCTCTAATGTGATACCTAAACTATGAATCTATTAACTAATGTGGTACTTAGAAGGTTATTTGTCCATCAGGTGTTATCATTTGAAGCTAGCTACATTAGAAGTGAGTACCATGTTTGTTAATAGATTCATAGTTCAAGTACCACATTAGAAACTTTTAAAGTTTAGGTACTGCATTGAGTATTTCACTATAGTTTAAATCCAATCTTGATCGTAAGATGTGAAATAAATCAATGCCATGGCAATGTCTAACAGCAGGAAATTCTTACATGTCTTAAGCAATTCAAACAAAGAAACAAAAAGGATAGATCTTTACATACGTGATATACTCTAAGAAGGTGGACAACGGCTCTGTAGCTTGGCATAGCATATGCTTATACTCATCAACAAGTTTGAGAGTACATTTCTCCACAATTGTAGTCGTATGCAATGGTGAAGGTTCTGCAAAGCATCAGCATGTGTTAGAATCAAAATTAAATGAAATAAATAAAATTAAAAACACATTGTCAAAAAAATCAACATTTTAACAAGATGGTCTTTAAATTAACACTCTAAAGTTGTAATTGTTAATCAATTTCGACTCAATTCAAACCAAAATCAATGATTTATCGAAGTAGATTGTGATGTTATTGCATATATGATAAAGTTGGGCTGAAAGGTAAAAAGGGCTGGACCATGAAGGAAAAATTCTCTTTCTTTTTCTGGTCTCATACTCTCAACTTCTGTCTTTTTTGCTCTTCTTTTCTGGTCTAATCTCTTACCTTTCCATCAGTATCCATTTGATCACATAGATTTAAAATTGAAAAAAACAAATCGAAAAAGCCGTACCGTTTTGGAGATAAGGGCCGTATTCGGTGGCAGAGAGGTGCATCTTGATATCGTCAAGGGTTTCGCATTGGCAAAGATTGTTGTAATCGGCGGCGGTTAAGAGTCCCGCCCTGTGGCCTCTCACGATCGCTTCCAAGTAACCGCCGTGGATGTTGAATGTCATAGCTTCGAACCCGTACATTTGGCCCTCTTTTTTTGTTCTTGATTTGAGTAATTAATATCTGAATTTGGGAATTGGAAGTTCAAAACCAATCCCTAAAGATGTATGAATTGGGAAATTGGGGAAATTTGTTTGTTCGTTTGTTTTGTCTTTTTTTTTTATGGTTAATGGTGATTGTATGAGTATTTGGAAATTGGGGAATGCTTAAAAAATAGTGAGAGTTTCACTGTTTTACCTCATACAAACATGTACGGTTTAATTAAATTTAGTGTTAAAATTTAATAGTTTAAAATTAAATATTAAAATAAAAATAAAATTAATTGAAAAGATAAAAATAATTTAAATGAAGATTATTTTAAACTTAATTGAAAACGCCCTTATTATCATTAAATTAAAGATTCATATCATTTAAAATTCCTTTTATTATAATAATTTTACATGATATGCTCTCCAAATTAAGTAGTGAAAATTTTTACTAATTTTAAAATAATGAGATGATCTTTTTCCTTTGAAAATTACAATTTAAATTTTAGAAAAAAGAGTTTAGATGAGATGTGATTTGTGTTGTAATGTTATTCTTTTAAATTATTAAATTGTTTTCCAAATTTATTTTTTTTTTACATAACTTGTAAAAACATAAATAATTATAAAAATGAACTTAAAATAATAAAAATTTGAGAAAGTGCATATTTACTATTATATTTTTTTTTGGTTCAAATCCATCCATAAAATAAATTTTACAAATATATGAAATATAAAATTTTTTATTGAGAGTATTACGAGATTTTTTTTTGTTTTTTGATTTTTTTTTAGCTCTCAGCAATTGATTTTTTTAATAGTTGATATTTATAAAAAAAAAATTCTAAAAATTACATTTCTAAAAAAATAAATGTAATCATTGATTAAAAAAATAAAAAATTACAATTTTCAAATTAAAAACGTAATATTTAGTTGACAAACATTAAGGAATACATTTTTAAAATTATTAACGTAGTTTTCAGCTTTGCATGATGTGTTTACAGAAGGAGAAGCTACTGTTAGTGGATCCAAATAGGCATGAAGATGAGGGAAGCACACCGAAAGAACAACAAATGAAATGATTTAGATAAGATTGATGAGAATAAGTGAACCATACATCATTCCATTTTAAAATTTTTTTTGGTGTCGTTTAGGTTATATAAATTTTACAAATATTTATATAAATTTTTGTGTTCATTTTTTAAAACTTATATTTATTTATAATTAAGTTATAATTATATTAAAAATAAATACACTTATAATTATTTATATATTATTGTTTATTAAAACTTGATTTAAAATTTTGATTTTTTTATATTTAAAATATAATTTAAAAATAAATAAAAAATACTCACAACAAAAGTATAGATCTAATTTTAGTCCAGCCATCCATACAATAAATCCATCCATAAGATAAATTTTACAGTGCTGTTCAATGGGAGTGTTAGGTGGCGTTTTCATGATTTTTTTTTTTTTTTTGCTTTACAAAAATATTCGAGAAACCAAAGAGAGAATGAGAGAGGTAAGTAAAACAATTAGGTGGTAAATTTTGAGATAGTTATTAAAATAACAAATGTAATAGATTATTGTAATTTTATATTTTTGAATTTTTTAACATTAAAAAATATTACGTTTTTTATATTTGAAATATAATATATTAATTAAAATAATAATAAACTAAAATAGATATTTTTATGTCAATGACTTTTTTATATGAGAAACATATTAATTGATGTAATATTAAAAGAATATTTATAATATTTAAAAACATAATTTTTATTAATAAATATTATTTTTATTAGTTTGAAAATAGATTGATAATTTGTTAAATTTTTTTTTAATTTCAAAGTGTGATTGATAATGAATAAAAAAATTAATTTTAAAAAATTATTTTAACTACATTTTTATATTAAAAAACGTAATTTTTGAATTATAAAAATTATATTTTTTTTTAAAATGTAATTTTTTAAATAAAAACCACATTTCTTTTATATATATATATATAAAGTGATCCTTGCAGTTGCCTTTTTACATGCAGTTTATGAAAGACCCACGTCACCTCATATTTTTAGTCTAAAAGCCACGTCACCTCACATTTTAATTAGGGTTATCTTCACATTTTCGAATAATTTGATTTTATTTAGTTTGTCAATTGCTTTTTCAATTCACACTTTCTAATGGTTTGATTCAGTTTAATTTGTCAGTTGCGTTTTCAAATAAATTTTTTAATCCTAGTACACATTTTAATTGATAGAAAATTATCAATTAAATATTTTAATAATCAAACTTTTCATTTAATTTGATTTTTGTATATATAAAAAAATTATTAAATTAAAAAATGATGGGATAAGTGAGTGTTAAAATGGTTGAAGTTGATGGAAAAATGTTATATCAACAAGAATATGACAAGGATAGGTGAGTTAGTACTAAAAATCTGCAACTTTTTTTTTTTTTTAATTTCTGTAGACACATTGTTTCATGTAAAATTTTTACATATTTTACATCAACAATACCCTTGCTGCCATTATTTTTCATTCCCTTTTAGCAAATTTCTCCTGTTTGATTTTTTCTATCACGCAACATTTTGATTTAAAATTAAAGAAAAAAAAAAGAAAAAGAGAATAGATGAAAGCTTTCATTTTTATTAACACGGGAGGATTTGATAAATATTGTTTAATTTTATCAAAAGTCATTTTGTATTTCTCGTTCCATTCTCTAGAATTATTCTTATGAAAAAGTTTAAAAATGAGATCATATTTATAAGTAATATGAGATATGAACCATGAAATGTAGTTTAATCTTTTCAGAAAACCTTGAATTTCTTTGGTGTACTTGGAGATGACAAATTTTGAATGACCTGTATTTTGTCTGGATCAACTTCAATTTTTCTTTCACTAACCACAAAGCCTAGTAACTTTCCTGACTTTATCCCAAAGGTACACTTGGTTGGGTTTAACTTGAGCTGAAATCTTCTCAATCTCTCAAATAACTTTTTGAGGCTAGTGACATGATCTTTATTCTCACAAGATTTTGCAATCATATCATCTACATACACCACAATCTTTTTGTGCATCATATCATGAAAAGTGTTACCATGGCCCTTTAATATGTTGCCACAACATTCTTTAACCCAAAAGGCATGACTTTGTAATAAAAGGCTCCCCACATGATTACGAAATTGATCTTTTTCATATCATCTGCAGTCATTTTTATCTGATTGTATCCTAAGAACACATCCATGAAGGAGAACATTGAATTTTTTAGCCATGTTATCTACCAGTGTATCGATATGAGGCAAAAAAAAGTTATCCTTTAGGCTAGCCCTATTTAAATCACGATAGTTTACACACATTCGTACTTTTCTATCTTTTCTTAAGAATTGGTACTATATTGACCACCCATTCTGGATACTTAGTCACTTGTATAAAGCCTGTATCAAACTGCTTCTTTACCTCTTCTTTGATTTTTAGTAGCATTTAAGGCTTCATTCGCCTTAATTTTTGCTGGACTGGCTTACATTCTGGTTTTAGGGGCAGTCTGTGCTCCATTATATCCGTACTTAACCCTGACATATCCCGATACAACCAAGCAAACACATCTATGAATTCTCGAAGTAGATCTTTCAAACGTTGCCTATCATCTGACAAAAGTGAAGTATCGATTCTGACCTCTTTCTTATTCTCTTCATCTCCAGATTCATTAAGTCAATTATCTCCTAATAAGGCTCAATTGGCTTATTTTCTTATTCAATCAATCTCATTAGGTTTGGAGGCATAACATATTCTTCAGAATTCTCTTCATTATCAAGTTTATCAATGTTAATTGAATTCTCAAAACTAACATCTTGATTGTTATCATAATTATCTTCATATTCATTTAAGGACCTAAAATTAAATAAAATGAGATATGTTGGCAGTATGTATTTGGAAAAAATGGCAATAATGAAGACACAAGAAAAAATGAATGAAAATGCATCCTTCCTAATCTTTATTAGAATAATAAAAGATAAATGGCCTAAACAAGAAAGATCACCCAAATATCTTGGGCAATAACTATTAGGATGTACAATTATGTTGAATTAGTTTCAAAGATCAATGGCACTCCAATTATTCAGCTTATAATCTGACGGACAAAGGTATACCCGTCCTTCTATTTCATCTTCAATAGCATGGATGATTAATTGGGCGAAAGCTTCTTCCACACTTTTTTCTGCATCTGGGTACATGAATCCTCCAAGTCTGAAAGTCTCGTATAGGTGTGGGATAATCATTAGTCTTGTTGTTTTACCTGCTGACCTTCTCTTGATCTCCCATTCCGCTACTTCATAACCTAGGCCTAGCCTTTCAGTATTGTCTACCACTGTTGGGGGTTCCCTTATTCCCTGTAAGTTCTTGCCTAGTCTTATTCTTGGATACCAACCCTTATTGATGACTTAGCTCGTCATTATCTTTGAAAAAAGTTGATTTTTAAATCCTTCACCCACATAGTTGATCAGTTCAAAAGATCAATAGGAACACTCCTCCATTTTTCAGTAACTTTCACATGTGGGGCATTCAAAGGTTGAGTCACTAGCATGTCTTCCTTTCCAAACATTGCCACTAACTGGCCTTCTACATTGAACTTAATTTTTTGATGAAGAGTAAAAGGAACAACCCCTGTCATATGAATCCATGGCCTTTCCAGTAAACAACTATAAAATGGAGAGATATCCATTACTTAAAATTTTACATTAAAAATGCACGGCCCAATTTACAAGGGCATCTTAATATCTTTCAAGACTTCTCTTTTGGTCCCATCAAAAGCTCGCACTATCATTTGACTGTCTTTCACATGAGAATAGTCGATAGGTAGTCTTGTCAAAGTTGACATAAGCATGACATTGATAGCGAAACCATTATCAATAAGAACTTTAGTCATGATATGACTCTTGCATTTGACTGTGATATGCAGAGCCTTGGTACTTTCTCTTTCCTGTGAGAGAATCTAATCATCACTGAATGAAATATAATTTGGCATGACTAAATTTTCAGTCAGGTGGTTCACATATTCAACAGATACATTATGTGCCATATATGCTTGGTTCAATACTTTCAGCAGGATATTTCAACGTGGTTTCGAATTCAATAGCAATGATAATAATGAGATTCGTACTGACATTTTGTTCAACTATTCAACAACTGAA